GGACACTGCCCCACGCAGGTCCCTGCCGTGGGGCTCGGTGGGCAACCCTGGTCCCCCCGCAGCCGGGGTCTGGGGTGAGGTCTCCCCCCTCGTTGCACTGGGAAGGGCTGGGGTGGCTCTAGGAGCACTGGGAGGTCTTGGGGCACTGGGAGCACTGGGAGCACTGGGAGCACGCCAGTGTTGCTGCGTTGGCACACCAGAGGCGAGGTGGCCACTGCCATCTCCGTCCGGGAGCCGGGGTCTCGGGCTGCCTGCAGACCCGGGCAGACATGATGTGCCCCTGGTTGGGTCCTCAAGGCCCTGTTATCGATGTCACTTGTCCCTTCTGCGGGGTGCCACCCTGCCCCGGGCTGCCATGAGGGTGGGGAAGCACGAGGGTGCGTAAGCACACACACGCACATCCCTGTGCGTGCACCGGACCGGGGAGCGCTCTCTCCGTGTGCCACCCCTGCCATCACACCTGCCTGTCCCCATCCCGTCCCCTGGGAAAGAGCCGCTGGCCCGGGACACGGGCCAGGGTGGTCCCTGCAGGGACAGAGAGAGGCAGGGGCTGCCGGGATCTGCCACCCGTGCCTTGGGCACCCCCAGCTCCCGGGCACAGGCTTAGCCATCGCCTTCCCGCTGGCCCAAGAAGGTGCCAAACCAGGCATTTTGGGGCTGGAAGGGGACATTTTGGGTTGGGTGTCCCCAGCACGCAGCCGGGGGCCGGTGCGGTGTACCACCACAGCACCCTCACTTGTGCCAGGGGCTGGAGCAAAGCAGCTTTCAGCAGCCGCTCCACGCACCCGGAAAAGGCTCCGGTGGAGACAGATGCTCGCTATAAGGAGGTGCCATTCCCGGCACGTTTTCCTGCGTTCCTGCACCAGCTCCATCCATTTGCAAAGCCCGGGATCGTCCAGCAATGCCGCGGGGAGCAGATGGCAGGGGCAGATGGGAGGAAGAGGCACTCTCCTCCGAATTACACAAACAAACATGCATAAAGTGATTAAACCCGTAGCCCCGTCGTCAGTCTGGGGCGAATGGGGAAGGGACTGGG